AAGGGTTAGGTTAAGGGTTAGGTTAAGGGTTAGGTTAAGGGTTAGGTTTAGGGGGGTTGGGTTTAGGTTTAGGGGTTAATTTTAGGTTTAGGGGTTAATTTTAGGTTTAGGGTTTACAGCGTGCTTCTGTCTCCGTGCTGTTGTCGCCCTGTTGATGACGTCAGCGATGCGGTTTATTCGAGCACGGTTTATTTGAGCACGGTTTTGTCGGTGAACCGAGAAAATGTCATTAGTTCAGTAAAATCTTCCAAGTGTAATAATAAAGTTCATGGTGCTTGGATTCATTAAACACTGATGATTAAACTGCAAGGAATCAAGAGCCAAAAATATTTATATGAAGCCAGAAGCAAAGGGGATTTTGTTCCATAGGAACATGGGAATATAAGAGTAGCTGAAAGCTGTAAAAAGAAGAAACTTACGAAGATAGACAACAATTTCAGACAGTTGACACCAACTTTGAGCACCAACAAATGATAGCTTGTAAAAAGGTATAATAGGAGTGAGATACGAAATAAGTCACTTTAAAAGGTTGCCTAGTGTTCAGTTAACATGCAAATTAGCAAATAGACAATATTATTTTAAACTTGAATCATGCACCTAACAAAAGGAAAAGGGGCATTCATTAATTTTTATGTTACAGAAATGAGATTCAAACCAAAAAAAGGGGAAGCTTATTAGATTAGGCAGGACGCCGTTCTTTCAACTAGAGCTTCCCTGATTTGCTGATCCTCACGGTGCAAGAAATTTAAACTTAATCTAAAATACCCCACCCTATTTTACACAAGCATTTTAGCAACACGAAGCAGAAGTGAGATTTTTATATAACCATATAAAACTGCAAGTTGCGAAAGGAGAATGCAGAAAATTAAGAGCCGCATCATTCAAAGGGTTTCCCCCAAAGCACATAAATGCGCTATAAAAGACAGCCATGTTTCTCTTAACACCACTGGGAATAGGTGAAGGGTGAAGAGCACACACAGTTTTGTTTGATGTCAGAAAGGCAGCATAAACCACAAAATATGTTAAGCAAATAAGCAATACAATGGGGGGAAAAAAACCATACCTGTCCTGAGTAATTAAATCACATTTTAAAGTAGTGTTATTTTTATATACCCTCACTGATAGATGTGTTTATTTATTCATCAGCATTTTCTCATAAGTCTTTATAGGGAGGTCGTAAACATCACTAATCTATCATTGTTTGTTTATATTATGAAGTAAGAACAATTTTAATATTTGGAAGTCGGAACTGAGAATGACGTTCTAAAATTCCCCTTTTTTGGCTTCTGTGAGTGGAAACTGGTATTTGCCAAAAAGTAAAACTGACATACCATCATCTTCACTTTTAATATAAGTAAGAAAGAAGACAACCAATTTGTCTGAATATTGAATGCAGGAAAGGTGAAAGTAGAATCTTAAGGCCGTGGATTGTCTGTGGTGCACAGCAGAATATAGTGACATTTTGTCACTCAAAGTCTATGCGATGCATTAATTACATCAATATGGAAATTATTCTTGTTGTTGTTATTGTTTAAATCCTCTCTCTGTTGGGAAAGATGCAAACTTTGCCAAGGAATGAAGGAAAGATATTTTTATTGCCCCAAATCAGGATCAACCAAATGGGAGAGAAATTGCAAGTTTTTTAAAAAAAAGCATTTAAAAATTCTCAATGTTTTATCAGAAAAATTCTTTGAATGTAATAAGTAATTGTTAAAATAAAGCTTCTTAAAATGGCAGAGACTGGGTTGGATTTAGCATTATAAGGGCTTGCAACAGAAGACTTTTTTAAAAAAAAACTTGTCACGTGGTAAACTTAATATTTTGGACACAAGTCCTGGAATTACAAAATTATATAGGTTTTAAGACCTTACAAACCATATTTATTTTCCCACATTCGTATTACATATCCACATGCACGAAATTCTTGCTTAAAATGAAATGGTGCTATGTGAAACTGCTTTTGATTAATTGCTGTTCCTTGAGAAAATTCACTTTTGTTTAATGTACAGAAATATTTAGTGCTGTGATTATTTGTTCTATAAAACAATCATATACTTCAGCTTAAAGCAATGACGC